TAAAAGAGTTATCAGAAATTAGGGGAATAATTGTCAAAGATATCCCAGCCTGGGTCAGGTAGGTTAGGGAGTTGGATAACATGTGATGGTAGTCCTTGGAAGGAGAAGTGTGTAAGAAGAAATGCTATTGTGTCTTCGATTTAAGATTGCTCCTTTGCTGGGATGTGAATATCTTCCGGCATTTGGATGGATTTGGTGTAGGATAGCACTTCTTGTAGAGTAGAAGGTAGTGGTGGTTTACTTTGGGACTTCCTGTCTGTAGATATTTTAATCCAGTCTGCAGGGATGGCCCGGAAGAAATACTTTTCTCGTAGAAGTCATGCTGTTTCGACTAGTAGTTTAGGGCTAGTGATAGGAGTAGTTATGTTGAATTCAGAGATATCGTTGGGGTTTGTTGGTAGGTTAGGTTTATTGGTTGGATTCACAATCATGTATTCTTCCGAGAGAGGTAAGTTGAATTTGTATGAGTCTTGGATTTCAGCTATGAATTCTTTTGCTGAGTGAATATCAGATATTGGGAAGGTGTAGTTTCTTTCCGTTTTTACTTCTTTGGGTTCTGCAGGTAGGACTTTCTTTTGGATAAAGTAGTCGCTTGGCACTCTCTTGAAGCTATAGTGTTCTCTTAATAAGTTCACGTATTTTCTAAAGTCGATTTCATCACGTGGGTTACATAGGAAGTGGTGTCTTACTGCAAAGTTTAGATTTTGGGGTGTTGATGGGAGCGATTCTTTGGGTTTGGGGAGATTAAAGTAGCTGGATGGCATTCTGTCTACTATATAATATTTCATTAGTTTTTGTCTATACTGTGCCAAGTAAGGTAGTGCTGATCGGTCTGTAATTGGAAAGAGCTCTTTGATTTCTGGATGTAACTCAGAGGGGTCATCAGGCAGTTTGTCTAATTGTTGCTCAAAGTAGCAATCATGTAACTTTTCGAAGGAGAAGATTTTTCTTAATGCTAAAACACAGGCTCTTGTGTTGCTACGATCTTTAATTGGCAGAGGGAAGGGTAGAATCTTGCAAATCGACTCGTCTATATCCTGTGGGGTGGCTGGAAGTTTTTTTAAAAACCAAGTATGTGCTAGGTTTATCATGCTTCTTGTTTTTTCGAAGCTAATAGGGTTTTCAATTTGAGCAAAGTTTAAACAGTAGTAGATTTGCCGTGTACACTCATGTGGATCGTCTTTAAGGAAATCTATATTGCAGATATAGTCAACTGCCAGTTTTGCTTTTAGCTTCTTATAGATTTGATCACGATTATGTTTGTTTATAAACTTGACTTCATGAAAACGGTTGTATTTTTCGATTGCCATTTGTAATAGCAAGTTGAACTCTTTCTGATGTAAAGGTTGGGTGTCTTTTTCTCTTGTGAAGGAGCAAAAGAATACAGTATCTATATGTATAAATTTTTGATTGATTGCATAAGGTATGTTGTGGCTAGTAGGGCATGTTTGGATTTTGTGTATGAAAAATGCTTCCATTTGTGTCTCAGAGGTGATTGCTTCAAGGATTTTATCATTGTTCCAGATTTGGCTATCGAACTGAATAGATCTTAAGGATCTTAAGTTTTCTAATACTGTATTACTCCAGGTTGCTTGCCTATAGTTTTTTGTTTTATTTACGTTTGATGTAAGTGCTTTGCTGTAAGACTTCCGGAGAGGTTGTTCAGATTTCACTGTTGTATTTGATTGGGTATCCATCTCAACTATATCTTTTCCATTTTTAGTATTTGGTGTACCAGTTTGTAGAGCTAGTTCATGGTCTGTATTCAGGATTGGGACCCATGGGTTGTCCCAGGCCAGGTCCGAGTTTTGTGGATTTTCGAACATTCTTTTGACTTCCATTGCTTCTGTATGTGCTCTTGGATCGGGTAAGTATGGATTTGTTAATTCGGTTTGGTCTCCTGTAGAGAGTAGATCTTGGAGCGCGGGAATTTGGGGGTTAGTTTCTATTTTTAGCTGACTGTTTGTATCCAACTGCATAGGGGTGTCCTGGGGTGTGGGAAAATTTCCCACGCTTGTTTGTTTTGTTGTCTCAGTTGTCGTCATCAAGATTTTTGTCGGGGGTTCATCAGATTGCCCACTTTTTTCTTTATTGCTAGTACTTTCTAGAGCGGCTGGGGAGTTAGTGTTATTTACGTTATTGCTATTGTTGCTGCTTGTTTCTGTTGCTACTCTTTTCTTTTTTAGCAGGGGTGGGTTGTCAGGTCTATTATTCATGCTTCTGTTTTGGCTATCTGAGGTCCTAGTAGGATCTATCAGAAGCGTGTTGGTTGTTTTCAGTGGGACGAGAAAAGGTTCGAAGGCTTCAGGAGTGGTGAGGAGTGTATCTCTATTTCTCTTCAGTTTTTATTCTTTTAGTTAGGTCTTGAAGATATATTGTATGCTTTAACGGCCTTCTAACTTAAGTTGCTATGAATTAATTTTTTTTTTTTTTTTTTTTAAATTGCTTATATGCTTATAAATTTTATTTTATTTTTTTTTTGGTATTAAGATGACCTCTATGGCCAGGGACTTTTTATTAAACTTATTAACTTCAGGTTATGAGTTACAACGAGGGTACATCAAGCCACACATGTACTTTTGGTACCTAATTTAAGTAGTCTACCTGGGTTTTACACTAGCTACCATACCTGCAACCTAACTAGGAGATTACCTATTTAAGCTCTCTGATTATTACTAATAAGAGTACAACTAGCTATACATACAACTTTTGGTTGCCTATTTAAGTAGTCTGCCCTAGGTTTCACATTTTAAGTAAACTTGTTCTATGTATAAAAATTATTAGATTAATATATATTTATTTTATAATTTTAAATTTTAAAAAAAAGATGTCTAATTTTAAATATTTGATTAAAAATTCTAAAATTAAATATCTTTCTTTTAAAATTTAAAATAATAAAGTAAATATATACTAATATAATATATTTTTATATGTAAAACATATTTACTTAGAATATTAAGATAAGATTAATTAGTAAAAAGTTAAAAGTTATATTATTTATTGTAATTTTATTAATAATATTATAAATGAGATTACTAAAACACACTACTGGTATTCAACACCACAATGATTTTTACTAATCAAATTTTTTAAATACCATGTAATATAAAAATTAGATATAATATAAAATTTTGTTTATTTTGTTATTATTCTTAAAAAAACATTTTTAGCTCAAAATTTGATCTATAAACTACTTTTTTTATAAAAAAAAAAATTTCTTGCAAAATTTTGCTAGATATTATATTTTATTTTAAACTTTAGCTATTAACTATAATTTAATATTTATTAAATTTGATATTGTTTATTTTTTTTGTTATTATTTTGATAATAATTTTTATATTATACTGCATTGTGGTGTTGAATAGCAGTAGTGCGCTTTAGGATAATTGATTATAAAATATATTACAACTTACAATATTTTACTAATTAATTTTATCTTTATGTTTTAAGTAAATTTGTTTTAGATATAGAAATATATTATATTAATATATTTTTTACTTTAATTTTAAATTTTAAAAGAAAAATACTTAATTTTGAATTTTTGATTAAAAATTCTAAAATTAAGTATCTTTTTTTTAAAATTTAATATTATAAATTAAATATATACAAATATGATATATTTTTATATTTAAATTAAATTATTAGAGTATAAAAATAAAATTAATTAGTAAAATATTTAGAGATATAATATTTATATTTTTTATAAATTTATTAGTAAAATTATAAAAAATAATATAACTCTCAAATTTTTATTAATTAATTTACTTTAATATTCTAAGTAAGCTTGTTTTATATATAATATATATTATTAGTATATATTTATTTTATTATTTAAATTTTAAAAGAAAGATATTTAATTTTAGAATTTTTAATCAAAAATTCAAAATTAAGCAAGTTTTTTTTTTAAATTTAAAATTATAAATTTAATATATATTAATATAATATATTTTTATATATAAAACAAGTTTATTTAGAACATAAAGGCAGAATAATTAGTATAATTTTGAGAATTATTTTATTTTCTATAATGTTATTAATAAAATTATAAAAAATATAGTAATTTTTAAAATTTTACTATATAAATCTCTTTTTATCTTCTAAATAAATTGCAAAGAGTGTCTTGTAACCAAAATAGCAATTAAAATATTAAAATTAGTCTAGTATATTATAATAAATAAATCTTTAGCTTTATGAATATATACTTTATTTATATAAAAAAAACATAACAACTAAAACTAAACGTAATTTAACCAAAGTTTAGTTTAGTTTAGAATTATAAAAATGCTATATTATATAGTATTTGGTTTTGTATAGCTATATTGTATTACTTATTGTTAATTAAATTTAAGTATAATTATTATTTTAAATTATATATTCCTTAAACCGTCAAGCGTCTATATTTGGATGCTTAAATTTATAGCTATCACGTGAGTTTGTGCGCTTTGTTTGGGTCGTCGCACTGCAGCTATGATTTGTGTCATGTGGCTTGATTCTTTGAGAGTCTCTGTAGCCAATTAGAATAAAAATTTGGC